ATCAAAGAAATATTGATTCTACCCTCAATGCAAGGCAGATACTTCAGGAATTATTTTATGTGCCTTTTGAGACGTTCAGCCCCCAATAGGTTGAAAACAAAGAAAAACATCAGAAAGAGAGGAAGCAGAGATTACCCAGCTGGGCAAAATGCCAGAAATGAAAGGATCAGCCAGATTAAGAAACAGGAAAACTACAGATAGCAGAGTTCAAGTACTGTAGGCCATTTTATATAAGCCACATGCAAATAGATTCTGTTGTTCTCATTATTCTATCATGTAAAATAATAAATAGCATTTGTAATGGTGGTATGAATAAAGAGTGGTATGTTTTGTTTAAGACAGGTATTTTCCATAGAAGGCAAATGGTCCATAAGCACATGAAAAGATGCTTAAGATTATCGGCCATCAGGGTGATAATGCAAATCAAAATCAGAGTGAGATACTTCAGACAAACTAGGATGGTGCAAATAAAAATTATGGTTTTTGGACAAATGGTGGTGATGCTGTGGAAGCTGGACATTTCACACACTGTTGTGGTATTGCGAAATGGTGGGGGTGCTTTGGGAAACAGCCTGGCAGTTCCTCAAAACACAAACACAGGATTACCAATTGATCCCGTCATTCCACTTCTAGGTATCAATGGGTATATGACCAAGAAAATGAAAGTACCTCCACATTTTTCACAGTAGTATTATTCATAACAGTCAAAACATGAAAACAACCCAAAGGCCCATCAACTAATGAACAGATAAATGAAACACGGCACAGTCATACAATGGAATGTTACCTGGCAATTAAATCGAATGAAAAGAGGCCAGGCAGTCCTTGGAAAATGAATACATAAGTTCTGTCTCTACATCTGTCTTCAAATCAAACTGTTGGATCAGTTAGGTATGGCTCATATCTAACATCAGTTAGCACAAACTTTGTCTTAGTATAGAATCTACCATTTTATACATAAAAATATGAACGTACCACTTCCAATATAAAACATCTTTTACATAATACGGTAATAATGATGTTTGATACACATTATTATGAACCATGTACCTCAAATTTGTACAGAATAGACTTTCCTGGGCTTAGTTGAAAGTTTGTAACCGATATATATGGTACCCTGGATGGACACCGAACTGAAACGTTGTAACAAGTAAAAGATGGCAGATACAAAAGGCCACATATTATACATATTATACATATATACAAAATGTCGATGAGGCAAATAGCTTTCCTCCCATTTCTGTTAAGCTGCATTCAGATGGGTAAAAAGTGAAGTTTTGAGTTACATCACCTCAACTTAGATTTAAATTCTACTTTTAACCAAGTAAACCTCAGATCCATGAATTCAGCCAAACTACCTATTCTTCCTGTGTTAAAATGGGGTTCATGGTACCTACATCAGTGATGAGAAAATGAACTAAAATACATACCAGGCACACAGTCAATTAGTTAGGGGGAAAATCAAACAGACCCAAACATTCTGCTATCTTTGTGGAGGCAGCTTTGTAGCAAAGCCACACAGAGAGATTCGTGAGTAAGTAACTGAGAACTGATGGGAAGCTCGATAGCAGGCAGCCAGAAATAGAAGGGCAGCTTGATTAAAGCCTCTGTACAGAGTAAAGCAGAGCCGCACAGCACTAGTGACAGTCACAAGACGACTATCTGGATTCTCAAGTATGTAAGAGAACTGATCTTGCATCAATCAACCTGGTCACAAGTATTTTCTCTAAATGGAAAAACAGAACCAGACTCTACATATTCATTTTTAATTCAATAATCTTCATTTTGGCTAATGTATTGCAAGTAAATTATATTTCAAACCCCTGGAATCTTGGTAACTGGTCAAGAATACACTTTAGAAATTAAATACAAATTCTAAAGTACTACTTAAAAATGATTTGGAATTAGTATTCAACCAACTTGTGTTACCTTGTAAAATGCCTGCCATTGGCATGTTTCTCCATTATTTCCATATTCTTATCAAAACTAGAGTCTGAAGAATTCTGGGCATTTTTTCTCAAAGACCTTAAAGCGCGCTTCTGGTGGTAGGTTTCTACTCCTTTAACAGAAGATTCATCCTGTAAGAAAAATTAAGAATATCATTCTTCTAGTTCCTGAATGCTTCCTGCCCCCTACCATGACCCAGGTTCTACCTTAAATCTGGCTAGACCAGAGAACACACATTGGTACAGAGTAAGAGCTCTCGACACATGGAATTCAGGAAAGATAACCCCCTCAGGAACAGTAGCGGGAGTAGCGACATCATGAGGGTAGGGGAAGAAAGGAGGAACCTATTACCAGGTTGGATATATAGCCTCCCTTCCTCAAGAGAAGACGAATAACAGAAATGTGGGTAAAGGGAGACAACGGGCAGTGTAAAATACTAAATAATAATAACAATATATAATTGATCAAGATTCATAAGGGTGGGAGGGTGAGTGAAGGTGAGGGAAAAACAGAGGAGCTTATACCAAAGGGGTCAAGTAGAAAATGTTTTGGAAATGATGACGGAAACATATGGACAAATATGCTTGATACAATTGATGGATGGAATGTTTTAAGAGCTGCAAGAGTCCTCAACAAAATGATTAAAAAAAAGAAAAATTAAGAAAGTCATCTAAGTTTTATTTGTCAAAGCCCCACGTTGAATTCTTCCTAAAAAGTTGCTTCTAATTACAAGTTTGAAACAATTGCTTTCTGTGGAGCTATCATTTGGCATCTCTCCACCAAAATCACACAGTAACTATCTAGAAGAAATAACCATTCAATGGTAAGCAAATTTGGCAATGTCCATGAAATGAGCAAGATAAGATGTATGAGTAGTTTCTAGCTCCATTTCAAAACAAGTAGTCTAGAAAGCGAAGTTTCCCACCACTGGAAAAAGTGGTAACAGCTCTTTACAGTTAAACACTAATTTATTTCAAGGCTCAGAAAATAGAAATGTCTGGAAAAGAGAAATACAGTATATACATTGCCTGCCACCAATGCACTTAAAATAACTGTACCTTCAGAATTGTCAATATGGCCTAGTGAGTTCTTACTGGGGTTCTTATTGACTTTGTTTCACCTAACTTCACTCCTATAACAAATGAAGTCAAAAGACTGCAGGTATGTTCATCTGTCACAAAAACCACAGAGCTCTTTACGACTTTATTTAAGCCAACTATATCAAGCTACAGAAAAGCATATAGAATCCCTTTTTTCTGCTGTATATTCAATAAAGTAGATACTAAAAAGAATAACCACACAAACACAAATAATAATGAGAGACTAAGGCAATCAGTTGTCATCAAGTTGAATCCAACTCATAGCAACCCCATCTGTGCCAGAGTGAAACTTGACTCAAAGGGTTTTCAATGGCCGGGTCACAGGTGCCTCTGTGGACTCACACCTCCAACTTTTCCATGGCAGCTAAGCATGTTACCTGTTTGTACTGCCTAGGGACTCCAAAGGCTAAGTGAGTGGATTGTCCTATGAACTACAGAGGTTCTGTCATGAAGTATTCAAAAAGTTCTTTAGAATTTCCCTGAACTCATATAAAGAATATACTCACACTAGAAGTAAAAAACTTCTAACCACTCTAAAATCATGTGCCTTCACTGTATCTACCCCTTAAAATCACATAATAATCACCAACAATAAATAATTAGTCCACAATACACAAACTTGGAAATGTCTATGAACTAAGATAATTGTGTATGGATGGTTTCTATTTCTATTTCATAATAAGTAGTCTAGAAAGTAAACTGTAGCACCCCTGAAAAAAGTGCCAGTAGTTCATAAAGTATTCATTAAGGCTCAGAACTTAGAAATATTTAAAAGAGACACACAGAACATATACTGTCTACCATTCAGCAACTTAAAGGAACTGGACCACCAGTTATGACTATGAAAACTGATCATTATACAAAAAAAATAGTTTAAGGAAAGTAGTTTGAGGAAAGAAAACATTGCCACCCCCAACCCCCAGCCCCCCAATCTGGCTTTACTTTGTCACTTAGCTTTGTTTTTTCAGGTGCCAGCAACAGGAGGTACAAAGAAAGTCATTTTCACTTCCCATGCTACCAGCCACCACTATGACTTTGGGCAGGCTACTTAATTGGTTCACAAGTAAAATTCATGCCACAAAGATTTATGTAAAAATTAGGTGCTTCATAAAATAATAAGCAATGTGTACCTTTGTCAGTATAGCTGCATTGAAGGATGCTTGGAAAAAGAACACGTATAGCTTAAATAGGAGTATAGCTTAAATAGGCGAACTATAGTATAAGACTTTCCAAGGTGATGATCTGCCTGAGAAAGTGCCTTCCTGAACACAAAGCATCCTATTTCCTTTGCTGTTCTTCCATTTTACAAGAAGAAGTCCTCTCTTTCACCCATTCTGAATCTGCCACTGTAGACTGCCTCAGGGAATATAAATCTCTATAAAGCCAAAGAAAAACGTCTGTGTAGGTGTTAGTAAATTGAATGATGGCGCAAGGCAACAAAATCTATTCCCTTGTTAGGTGGTTTCCAATTATTTGCTTTCAACAAAATTGAAAGGAGGTCTAATCAAGTTAAGAGCATTATAAATAATTTTTGGCAAGTTATGTTCTGCATGGATGCCAGAAAAACTGAGTTGCCCTCCTAAAGCAGACTTTCTTCATTTATCCATTTATTGATGTGACAATGTTTCTGAGTGCTTATATTTATTTAAGTAACAATGGAATCGATGCCAAAAACTGGCTTTAAGTAATCTAAGCAAAAGACGCCCAAAACCACTGCCATCAAATAGATTCTGACTCAGGTCTACTCTATAGGACAGAGTAGAACTGTTCCATACAGTTTCTGAGGCTATAAATCTTTATGGGTACATCCTGCAGTACACCCTTACAGTGGGTTTGAACTGCCTTTTGATTTGCAAGAAGTCCTGGCGAAGTGGGTTATGCACTGGACTGCTAATTGAACTGTGGATCAAACCTACCAGTTCTTTACAGAAAAAGATGAGGCTGTCTGAATTCCTAAAGATTTACAGTCCCATTAAGAAAACAGTACCATTTATAATAACCACTTAAAAGATGAAATACTTAGGCATAAACCTAAAGAAACAAAAGACCTACACAGAGAAAACTACAGAACATTACTAGAAGAAACCAAAAATGACCTACATATATAGAAGAATCTCCTGTGCTCATGGATAGGCAGACTTAATACTGTGAAAAGGTCGATACTACCTAAAACAATCTACAGATACAACACAATCCCAAATACATTCTTTAAAGAAATGGAAAAACTAATTATCAATTTCATATGGGTAGGCAAAAGACCCAGGATAAGCAAAGAACTTCTTAAAATGAAGAACCAAGTAGGAGACCTTGCACTACACCTAACCTAAAAACCCACTCTATAGTCATCAAAACAGCCTGGTACTAATACAGTGAGAGAGATATAGACGAATGGGATCAGAACAGAAAACCCAGACATAAATGCATCAGCTTACAGGCAACTAATCTTCAACAAAGGACCTAGAAATAGTCAATGGGACAAAGACAGCCTCTTCAACAAATGGTGTTGGACAAACTGGATTTCCCTCTGCAGAAGAATGAAACGAAACACATATCCCTCCCCATGTACAAAAACAAACGTAAGATGGGATGTAAACCTCAGAGGTGTCAGGATCATCAGCGAGAAAGCCGGAGCAGACTTGAGGGCCCTATTGCAGGACATAGACTACCAAGTACAATGAAGGAGGCACACACAGTGGAAGATGATAGGTAACTGGGATGTGCTGAAATGACATCGCGTATGCACATCAAAGGACTTTTCATCAGGAGAGTAAAATGAAAGCCCACAGATTGGGAACATTTTTTACCAATGACACAATGGACAAGGGTCTAATTAACAAAATTTACAGAACTCTACAACAGTTCAATCAGAAATAAACAAATGACCCAATTAAGACGTGGGAAAAAGACATGAGCAGACATTTCACCAAAAATGAAGTACAAATGGATAACACATGATAAATGCTCACAATCCCTAGTCATGAACGATGCTAATTAAAGCACAATGAGATACCACCTTACATACACAATGCTGGCCCAATTAAAAACAAAAGCAGCAAATGCTGGAGAGGATGTGGAGATAATGGAACTCCTATACACTGTTGGTGAACTTGTAAATACATACAACTGCTATCGAAAGCAATATGGCAATACTTAGAAGCAACTGGGAATTGAAATCCCATACAATCCAGCAATACTATGAAGCATATATCCCAAAGAAGTGAGACACAACATGAGTGGATGTATGCGCTCCCATGTTCACAGCAACACAGTTCACAATAGCAAAACTGGAAGCAGCCCAAATGTCCAACTGTGGAAGAATGGATAAAGAGATGGCACATTCACACAACAGGATCCTATGCATCCCTAACAAAAACAGTCATGAAAGCATGAAACACTTGAAGACACGGAGGAAACTGGAAACCATTATACTGAGAATGAAATTAGTCAATCACAAAAGGACAAATATTGTATGAGTCCACTACTATACGGAGAAACACTAATTGGTCAAATCTAGGGACTAATTCCCAAACTAAGAGGTGGAATGTCTGCCTGTAAGTCACAAACCATGCATCACCCCTTTTATGTGCACTTCATAAGAACCATCTCAAGGGAAGAGACCTGACATTGGGGGAGGAAAAGGGAAAAGATCACCCGGTTGATGCTGTACAACAAGGTTGTGACAGATCAACAGGCCCTCGATAGGATTGAGAGAACCTTACTGGAAAGTTGAGACCAAGGGACAGGAGCATCTACATTTCAGAGGAGACATTGATGTTTCTGTTGGTGGGTATGGTGGGTAAATGAGGAGGGCCAACCTCACATCAGGAAGGGATGCTGAACGATAATCGTAGGGAACCTAAGGGGAGAATAAACCCTGGTTCCATGATCTTGGGTAGACACTTCGAATGTTCCTACCCAACCCTTGGTGAACTGCACCATGAACTGGGCACTATG